ATCAAAAGTAAAGCCCAAAGTTTTATCTTGCGGGAAAAAATGTGGAAGTTCCTTAGGGTAACTAAATATGAATGACTTGTATAATTCAGTTAATATCAGAATTTAAAAAGATTACCTATCTTATATCTTAAACTGACTCGTTTCATGTTTCCATACTGTTCTTGTGCACTTTTCTAATTTTCAGCCTTGCATTGGTACACAATGAGCATCTCTTATAGTAGCAGCAGCTATAAGTAGTTCTAGCATTTAGTCTGAATGATATTTTTCAAAAATGAATGTTTGCACACACATATTTTTGTTACACAAGAAAAGAAACTATAGAATATAATTTGGACAAAAATAGCTAAAATAACTTCTTCTTTTTTAGAAATTTCATTAGTTTACTAATCAAAAATGAGTTTTAGAAGAAGTTCAATGTATCTTGTTCAACATTCTGTCTCATAGCCATGTTGCATTGCAGGGTATGATGATAATGCCCTCAGATTCAAGCACATGGCTTTAAATTTGAATTTTAACATAAAAATGCTGACATAGTTATTCCTTATCTCTCTTAACTATTTCTTGCATTGGCCATTCCAGGAAATATTGTCAAACTAGAACTGAAAGAGTTCTTTTTCATCTTTGCTTTGCTATATTTTGCATCGTATCTGTTGGATGGTAAAAAATTATGGCAAGGATTTGTCTGACTGTAAAAACTGAGATTTAACAGGTGTAGTTAACTGATAGCTGTTAGTTTGCTTGCTTTATATAATTTTGGATACTTAGATTTAAATATTCAGACTTAAAATATAGTTAACTGATAGCTATTTGTTTGGTCATATAATTTTTTTCACTGTCTCCAATCTTTTCTATTTTTAAATGAATTTCCTCTAGCAACTGTTGCAGTTTAATAATTAATAAATATTCAAAATTCTATTTATCCTACTGGTCCCTATAAATTATCTGAGCTCCAGTATGGAACACAGATTAAATGTTTGAAACTTTTCTGCCTCAGAGGGATGTTTCAGAGGCTCCTGAGACATTTGTAAACCAAGTTAACAGCTCTCTTCTTTCTGTCAGAAGGCCGAGAAAGAAGCAGTTGAAACATCATCTGCAGCACTACTAGGCAGTGAAAGGGAGGACAGGTATGCATCATATTTTTTTTCCTTGTCTGGGTTATACAGTCACTGAGACAATCCTTTAAAGAACCAAGTTCCTTATATGAGAACAGATTGGGAGCAAAGAACTGTAGGGCTTGTTTATTCTCCTTCCCCACTGCAGCTTCTGAGGATTGTGGAACTCCTCAGAGATATCAGGAGGTGGTGCTAGAGCAAACAGTACTTGCATTATTTACACTTCCACAGTGAAGAGCTTCCACTGGATAGCAGTCTTTCCCATTTGCAGCCCTTAGGCTGAGAGGCAAGCAGTGATGCCTTGCCTTTGGTTATGTAGTCCTCAAGGCTCAAAGGTTTGTCAGTAAAAAAGATTGGGTTGAGGAAAGAATATGGGGGTGTGTGGGGGGGGTGGGGTCACAAAAGTGTAAGTTTCTCCATAGCCACTTCTCCCAAATTTAACATGATTTTGTTTTCCTTAGTGTCAGTGCTGCAGACCTTCCCCAGGAAGGACCTGATGACAATTTTTGGTGAAGATGAGGTACTGGTAACCGGAAAAAAAATATGATTGATATGGAAAACAATCCTTAGGCAGTAAGGAGAATATTTTTGCATAACCATAAATATTTGTCTGTAAAATAATGAATGAAAAAATAATATATTGGTATATATTCTTGTTAGTAATATTGTTGTATTACAGGCGTTGAGTGAACAGTTATGGTACTTTGTACTTTGTATTATTTACAAATTGTTGCTATTGTGAACAAACTGTTTAAACTGTTCTACCATGTAAAGTGGACTGAAGAAGTTTTCTTAAATCGATTTACCTTTTTTAAAAATATTTTTAAAAAGTATATTTTTAAATATTTTTACAATCATTATAGAAAATTAAACTGTTTATAGAAAATTTCTCAGTTTTAATGTATCTGAATTTTACTGTTCTATAATATTGCAGATTTCACAAATAGTGAGTTATAGCTCTCTGTAGCCAAAACGTCATTAACATTAACAAATTAAATCTGCACGTTTGAAGGGTTTTTTTTAATTTCTTGAATATTAACTACTTCGAACTAAGTTTTAGAAACAGCCATATTTTATATCCTCTCACTTCATATCCTGTACAAATGCTTTTAAAATAGGGGAATAACAATTATACACTTACTATACAATTAAACTTGTATTTGTGATTATGATCTTTTACTATTAAAGTAAAACAATAAAAAATATTCATTGTGATTTTTCTTCAAGCTATTCAGGGAAACTTTGGAAATGATTAACATAAAATAATGTAGAATCCTTGGTGCTTTCTAAGCTTGGTTGTTTTCTTGCAGAACTAAGGAGAAATTTTCTAGAACTAAGAAGAAATTTCCTGACAGATCAATTAATCAGTGGAACAATTTGCCTCCAGAAGTTGTGAATGCTCCAACACTGGAAGTTTTTAAAAAGATGTTGGATAACCATTTGTCTGAAGTGGTGTAGGGCAGGGGCGTCAAGGCCTGGGGGCTACATCTAGCCCACAGGGTGCTTAGATCTGGCCCATGGGGCTACCCTGGAAACAGCAAAGGATTGGCCCACGGTGTCTCTGGCAGCAAAAACGCAGCCCTTCCAAGCTCCGTTTTTGCCTGGGATGGCCTCCTATAACCCTCTGCCAGTGAAAACAGAGCTCGGGAGGGCTGCCGAAAAAGGACTTCGGGAGCCCATTATCACTGGCAGAGTACTCGGGCCGCCACAAGCGCCTCTCACACAAGTGACGTCAAGCTGGCCACACCCACCCTGGTCTCCTGAGGTCAAACACAGCCCTGATGCAGCCCTCAATGAAATCGAGTTTGACATCTCTGGTCTAAGGGGTTGGACTAGAAGGCCTCCAAGGTCCCTTCCAACTTTCTAGTGTAGTCTAGTCTATTATTCAGGAAGTGATTGTGAATTTAGGGAACAATAGTAGCATGTTAATGATATACAGCTTTACATCTCCATCATAGACCAAACTGGAAATGTAGAAGTAGGTCTTGTCCCAATGTCTGGAGCTGATGGGGCAAAATAGGCTGAAGTTGAATCTATGTAAATTGTTGCAATATACAAATAAAGTGAAACAAGAAGAATAAAAATAGGTATAACCACATGGAGAGACTCGTCTTTCTATTTATATGGACTCTCCATGCAACCTTATAATTGTGTGCTAACCCAATACCAGAAGGAATGCACAGTCACAATTACTTTATACTTAAAATAAGGATACACAACTACTGGTTTTATTATCTACAAATATTTATTTGTAACACTTGGATATAACTACAGGAAGCCCTTGGCACTGATATAAAATATTGATTCACGGTTAGGTTACAAAAAAATTATACATAGCAAAATTGAATACTTTTTACATAAAAAAATTAGACTACTTAAACAAAACTCCCAGTAATAGCTACAAAGTATTAGAAAATAATTAGGCTTTAAGACATTGTCTGTTACCTTTATGCAACCACTGGACTAGAAGAACACCTGCATTGCTGTAGAAATTTGTTTCCTTCATGCAACAGGTAAAAACAAACACGAAGCTATTATTTCTTACTTGCTTTATATAGATTTTTCTTCTTTAAAAAAAGTCAGCTTTAGACAAGTTAAATGCAAGGTAATACCTGATTTCATTTTCCATCCAATGTTTTTTGTTCAATCTTTTACTTTCAACACATTTCTTTATATTCTAAAAGAGCATTCATATTCAGTACACATTCAAAACAGGGATGCATGACAATTGTTCACTGATTTGAAATTCACTGATGCATTTTATTTTTCTTCAAATGTTTGTGTTTTTTTTAAAAAATAGCACACAAAAAACCATCATCACTAATAAGCTAGCAGTGAAATTTCTGAAAATGCTAGAAGGCAGATATTAAGGGAGACAGTTTGAAATTGCACCCTCTGTTTTTGAATATCACAATTTTTCATAAGAGAAAACTATTGCAGCTTATTGGATTGAGCACCAAAATTGAGGTGAGCGTTGATCTGTAATCTGAATGGCTAAAAGGTTTTTAAGTTCTACAAAGTTTTCATCTGTTCAACCTGAAACAATCGAGTGACTGACCAGAGGGTAATATCTTCTGCTTTATTAAAATTGAGACAGGATAATGATCTCCAGCTGCTGTGTGCTATAAATGCTCAGAGACATTTATAGAAAATAAACATTAAGGCAAAGCTGACATTTATTTTCAGAGAAGGGAATCATCCTGATTACAGGGTCTGGGTCTATTTTATTAAACAATTAAAAGTTCCCACCTTACTCTGATAAGTGCAGCAGAACAGGAGAGGCTCATTGCAGCTTTGTTGAAAAGGGAGTGTACAAAACAAATCAAAACCACGTTTGGCATTTAATGTGCAAGGTCCAGTTTTAATTTGGATTGGAATTGAATGTTGACATATAATGTTCTGAAACCATATCAAATAAGCATAATTACAAGTATTCAGAATAAAGGAAATATCTAGTTAAATCCTAGAATCTGGGTTACTTACACCTGTGCAATTATATACAGCCTTTTCAAATCTAGACATTACAGAGCTGGATAATACCAACTCTGGTACCCTGCTTAGAAACAACAACAATAATAATGTTATGATTGCCAAGAGAAATCCATGAAGGTATTTTAGTTGGAAAAGTTTTTTTTTACAGTGGCCTGGAATGTGATGACCTCCCTCCACCCCCAGTTCCAAATTCAGAGCTAAAAGGAATGAAGGATATTCTCTTTATCCTATGGATATGGCCCAGGAGCGCTTGGACAATATATCTGCTCGATGATTTGTCAGAGCTACAAAATTCTTCTGAAAAAATGCTCTGGCAAGCGTTTATGTGTAAGAATTGAGTTGCTCTTTGGATCGAGACTGGATATCCTGAAGCTCCTGCTCTTCTTTAGCTTTGATATCCTGGTAAGCCTGCATTTTGCTTGCATCCTTTAAGTAGGCCCAGTTAGAAGATAGTATCATGAGGAAGTGGATCTGGAAGAGAAGGGTGAGCATGATGGCTAGTGAGTATGTCAAGAGGCAAAGCTGGCAGCTAGTAAGATTAATACCAAGTTATTCTAAAATATATATTAAAAATAGGCAAGAAAGTTTATTTCTAAAGGTATATAGAATGCTGCATGCTGAACAAAGAAGCAGCTGGCAAAAAGTTAGGAAGGAAAAGGAAGAAAAACAATTAATGAGAAAGAGCAGAAACAGAAAAGCTGTGAGAACATTGTCTAGGTTTACATGCTGAAGCCTCCCAAGCAACTCAAATTTGTGATGGTTCTTTCCATTCTCATCTCCTGCCACCTGAAGGAAAGGAAACTCTACAGTCGACCACTTGGTTATGTTCCATTGTATTTCTTGAAGTAAATAGAACTAGTTGCTGAGTTAAAAGCATGTATGTGGTACTGCATAGTCAATAGTTTCACTATGGGAATTATCAGGTAAGAGGAGTTATCAGAAATGGAAAGTTTGCTTTTTCCATAGGTTAAAAAAATCCACAAAAAGCAACATAAATAAGACATTTTACAGATAAAGAACTGTGTAGGCTTTATGTCTGACTGGAAAATGAATGGATATGTTTGAATGAAATACTAAACGAATGAAATACTAAACTAATGAACAGGTATTCTGATGTTTAATTGTGTCAAAGCAATTGAGCAAGAAAAGACTTCTTCATGGGAGTTACAACTTTGAAGCAGAGTCTAGTTTTATTTTATATTGCTAAGAGATAGTTGAATGGGATTTGAGAACAGAACTTTGTCAACTATCTAGTATGTCTATGATATTGGGTGTTATCAAGCAAGCTCATATATTGTGTGTTATCTACTGTATAGCATATTTTCATATTAGTGAACAGTAGTGATAGAATAACTTACTGTATTACAGAGCTTAATTGATCCAAACATTGTTTCACAAATAATCATTAGGAAAAAAATAGCCTGATATTAAATGAAAGCCCCTCTTCCTTTAAAAGGATGATTTACAACATCATTTTAAGATTGTATTCTCATACGATAGAAAATAGCCAGGCCTCATTCACACTGTTATTCATATACAAGAAATAATTTGTATTAATCTAAAATGCTTAAAGATGCTTACTGAAGCTATTTACAAATTACTGTAACAAACTTTTAAAATCTAGACTCTTAGTCTAGGGTGTCAGCGGCATTTTAAGCTACATAATGCAGCTTATACAATTTAGAATTTAGTGCAGCAATCTTCCCGACTCTTAAACTTCAAAACAGCAAAGTTATATGTAGTAGCCATCATGTAGATCAGCTGGTGGAAGAGAACAAAATACAGCAGATAAGAGACAATAATTTCTTCAGGGCTTTTTGGCAATTAGATTTGTATTAGATCACAATGAAGACTGTCAGGCAAGGATTTCTATTTTAATCAAACTTAATGACAAAAATATCTGGTAGGTTTCTCTACCCTTCATTCTGGATACACGAAGGGCATTTTGCTGCCAAGGAATAGTCATTGCATTTGGCTAACAAATTAAAAGCTAATCAATGCAAGAACTTGATGAATCTCACTGCTACTTCCCCTACATCTACTATCGATAGTTAAAATAAGTGAATGTGCTTTGCTTCAGTAAAGTTTCTTAAATTGAAAGAAATATAAACATTTTAAAGGAAAGAAGGAAAGATTATTAATTACAACTAATTGCAAAGTTGAGGAATGGTATCCTAATAGATCCATAGATTCATAGATTATTACCAGTGTACTTCTATCAGGAAATGTGTTATTTCGACTATGCAAGGGAATGGAGTTAAATAACAAGGAAAAACCACTTCAGCAAACCCCAACAATAATAATTCTTACTGCGTAGGCAAAGTTTTCTTGGTAACAGTAAATCTTTCCCTGCTGTTTGGAGTATACTGAGAAAACTATAGCCAGTGCCAACCAACACAAAAATTTAGCTTCAGTTTAAATATTTGGTTTCATCCAACCAGGGCTTTTAGTTATTTTAAAAGTGAAATATAATGATACTCACCAGGGCTATAACAGTAGCACCAGCTCCAGCACAGGCCACAATGAACAGGTGATATGACAAGTAGAACTGCAAGGATAAAACAAACGACCATTTCAGATTAGCAATGGCAAATTATCACATCCTAATGCAGTTTTTGGAACCTAACTTGTAATCTCATTCTATGAGCTAGTGTGGGGAAAAATAATATGAAAATATTGATGCTCTTCTTGTATGTGAAATCTCATACTAATTTTTCATTAGGAATACATAATGCTACAATACTGTAAGCCATTCCCAAATTACTTCTGTTTGTCAGATTAGAGATGCTGCATAGGATCTCTAAAAGCATTTAAGCACCAGAAGACCATTTTAACTAAGGTGATATTTGTTACAAACTTTCTACAAAACATTATATTATAATATTACTGTAGCTAAATGAGGCTTCTAATAATATAGAAAGAAATTGCATTAATAAATTTCCCTTCTGTCTCAATCTTTGTATGATCAGTACCTAGCCATTGTAAACAACTAATGAAAAATAGTCAAATTCTTCCAGATGGGAGTAGGTTTTTTTGCATGTTTCTGACAGTCTTAGTTGGCTGTTATGGTCATATTTGATGCTATTACAGGGATATTTGTTTGTTTTTTTGTATCCTGACCATATCATTTTTTACAACTCAAAATGGTGAACATATCCAAACACCTTCCTCTTCCTGTTTCACACTATAATAAAGAAAATCTAGCTAATATCTCTATATTATGCATGTGTTTGTTTTTAAAGTAAAACATACTTAAAGCTGCAGTTGCAGTAGGACTATCTCTATATAGACTGCATTCCTAATGCTCACAACACCGAACCCTCATCTAGTATAAAGAAAACCCTTGTTCTCCAAAGACTAATTTAGCTTAGAAATACCATTATTAGCAGCTATCTCATGAGCTATCTTGTGTTGTTCCTTCTTGATTAATTAATTTTTAAGTAGCGGATTGCTAGGTAATTTTATTAAAATATGGAAGAGAATAATGGAACATTTTGTCTCATTTACCTCAGGTGTGCTGCACATATTAGCTAAGGTCGATCCACATGCCTTACCGGGGATTGCATTCCAAGGGATGATTCCTGAAGTTAAATACCAAGGAAAACATTTTAATGTTAATTAACACAATTTCCCTTCTTGAAATTCAATTTTTCCCCACCTACAGACAAGTTGTGTTATTTTATCATTCACCCACACATTGACCAGTGCAGTCTGGAATTGGCATTATAAGTATGCTTTCACTGAGTTGTGTTCTCCTTGTCAAGATGTGTCCTCAGATTTAGGATTCTCATATGGCAAATAAATGGTTGTTTTAGTCATCAAGGATATTGTCATATGCTGTATTCACGAGGCAAAAACTGCTTTTCAGGATTTACCTTAGAGCAGAGGTGTCAAACTCACGGCATCACATCGTTATCACGTGATGTATTGGGACCTTTGCCCCTTCATTAACCAGGCATGGGCGTGGCCAGCATGCGATGCATCTGACCCATGGGCCGAGAGTTTGACAGCCCCGCCTTACAGTTGGATGTTGCAAGTATTGTCAAAACAATCCCACTCAGATCTAGCTCTTTTTTTTAACTATGTGAGCTGCTTTATAATACCAGAATCTCTGTTTTTATTTTCCACTATCCAACTTTGTAAGTATCCATTTTCTTCTTTGTTTCTATTTAACGAGCATTCATCATGTAACATCAGAACTCTCAGTGTCATAGAAAAGTAAATTTTTATCATCCCAAATATTTGTGCCTTTGTGTCTCCTTTTAGGACAGGGGTGTCAAACACAAGGCCCACAGGCTGGATCTGACCCATGGGGTGCTTAGATCTGGTATGGAAACAGCAAAGGACCAGCCCATGGTGCCTCTGCCAGCAAAAATGAAGCTGGGTGGGGTCTCCAGCAGCCCTCTGCCAGTGAAAATGGGGCACAAGGTGATGTACCTAGCCCCTTTGTGCCCCATTTTCAGCCACAACAACCTCAATGAAATCAAGTTTGATACCCCTGTTTTAGGAGATTCTATTTTTGTGACTCTGAATATAAGCAATAAAGTATGTATCTGAAAATCTCTTAGCAGTCTGTCATAGCCATGAAAGATGGAATAGATACAAACTTGAATTGAAGTCCTGAATGATCATGGCAAGTTTCTTTGCTTGTTTAAAAAGGATTTTATCCAGAGGTTGGGAAACAGTTGTCTATGATTCTCAGCATCCTTCACTACAAGTTGCGTTGGCTCATTCCATAAAATATGGGGAGTCACTGTTCTTATCTTAATCAATTAGTGTCATGCCCCGGTGGAGACTGACTCTGAGGAAGAGGAAGAACAGCCAACAGGGAGTGTGGCTCCAGAGGTGGTGGAGGAGGCTGGGGAAGGGCAGAGGCCGGCTGAGCAGTCAGAGGAGGATCCAGGCCCATCCCCTATCTATCCTAGGTCATGCAGGGAGGAGAGGATCAGGGAAAAGCGAGGTCTACTCAAGAGGAGATTACCATGATCCTCCTCGTGGCTTGCAGCTGGGAGCAAATGTATATAAGTTTGTAACTGTGCAGTCAGAATTGCTGGAGTCAAAGTTTAGTGTTCACTTTGAAAGAGGTTTATCTTTGCTGGCGTTCTTCCCATGGACTCTCCTCGGTTATTTTCCTGGAATTTATGATTAGTTATCTTGGCTTGCTTCAGAACTCTCATCAATGCGGTTTGTTTTGGTTTTCTGTTTGCCTCATTATTTACTTTTGTGACTTTAAACTGTGCCTAATAAAACAGTGAAGTTAAGTTGAAGGCTTTACTGGACTTTAATATATGTTTTGGGTTATTTTGAGAGACCACGGGTCATCACAATTAGTAGGATTTGTAATTTTTTTTGGATGGAAAATGGCTCGCCTTCTATTGTTTAGTCTGAATTATTTTTATAGGTTGTCAAAAAGATAATGGGTTATCTTTTTATGCAGGCCATATTTTATTACTATATATGTTTTTATGCATGTGATTTTCACCATTGTGCTATTTATAATATTATTATATTCACATGTTATTTTTTTAGAACTCATAGTTCATTTGTAAGTGCAATAGTTAGGTTTTTTTTCCTTACACCCTCTCTTTTTAAAGAATGATAATATCCTCAGCCTCATTCCAAAGATTTGGATCATCATCCAACACTGCAATAGAACATTATCTCACATTTAATACAATATCTAAAGTGTCATGGTAGCAAGCAAATTGAAACTAATTAATATACTGTAGATATATGGTCTATATATATTAAAAATAGAACTTTAATCCTCCGGCTCTTCATTCCATTGGATACCTTTCTGCATACGTTTATAATTGTTTTGTCCACTTTTCATACATGATTTACCACATTACCAAATTTGACAATAACAGAACACTGACTATATCAAGCTCTCCATTGTGTGTATAAAATATCAGCCTTATTGTCAACCTTTTATCGCTGCATTTACTGACCAGTTAATAAGTATGTTCATTTCAAAGTGAGAAAACAGGGTAAAAGGTATCTGTTTACATGCACAGGCCAGTGTAATCTACATTATTTGCAAAAGCAATAATGAAAATCCACATATAGCTGCTTCTCAGTTTATTTTGTAAGGATAAGACAATTCCTCTTGATGGCAGGACAAGTAAAGAGGATAAAACATTTAATTAGATTAAGATAAGTACCATACTGCCGGATATCCACACAGATCTGGTCTGCTGAAGTCATGTTTGCGGAGAGTGATCTGATGACCTCACAAGTTGACCACATGTTGTAGAACATAAAGACTGGCACAGCAGAAAAGCCAAAAACACCCAGCCAGGCCACCCCAAGAACATAAGTGAGGAAAACAAACTGCGAAGAAAACAGACATTTTGCAGTTTATTTATAGTGAATTTGAGTCAGAGGAAACTAGCACATTTTTGATATTCCACATGACTGGACCTATCTTTCTATAAATACTTTCCATATCCAACAAAACCTACTCTGTTTAAAAATATATTACCATCAAAATAGTCTGACTTTCTAAATTGTGCTTAATGAAATCATAATTTCAGCTTGAAAGTCAATAAAATACAGTGAGGAATTAGCTACAAGCAAGTGTTCATTATGAGGAAAAAGTGTTCATTATGCTTACCATTCAATTGATTACTTAAAATCAATTTGCTTTCTCAGAGATGAGGAAAATCTGTCAAACAGAGGAGTGATCCAGAGACTCACTCCAAAGGACTTGTGTCAGGGAAACAGAAGATGGCCAAGCTCTAGCCAAACAAAGGAATTTGAAGTTGAGCATGGGACATGGAGTATGGTTTTTGCAAACTTAGACTGAGTAGCTTCTAAACTAGGGGAATAAACACAGAGTTGTGCCCCCTGTAACAAGCCAAGGACTTTTGCTTTACACAATTTTCTACTCCAGTACTGTAATTATTGCTATGATGAGTATTTTAAGACTGCATTAGAAACTTTTTGAGTTCTAATAGAAAGATGGAGGATTGGAAGTCTATATAAATATAAACAGTATCAATGAGAAATTAGACAGTTTTAAAATACTCACTGAAAAGAATATTAACAGACAGAGGTATGCCCTGGAACTACTCCTATGAATCAGACATTTTATCAAACTATATTTTACAGCTGGCTCAAGTAGTACTCACTATTTGGAATAACATAAACACAGACAGATAGGTCTCCTATAAAAAAAGGCATGCTTTAAGTATACAACTATGATTCCAGCCTTTCAAGTAAATTTAGTAGCTATGAAATAGTACCCAAATTTAAGGGATAGCTGCAGGATTCTACAGTTTAATTCTCCCTCACTTTCACCAATGTTAATTAGGATGAGAAATTATCTGACATAAAACCCTTTCAAATTTACCTCAATTGGTAAAAATCTGATAAACACATCTTTAATGCCCTTTTTTCAATTTGGATTTACTGTCAAGAGCAAAACCCTTAAGTCTGTCTGGTTTGGTGCAGCAACCGAACCAATTTCAACAGATAGTGAAGACTGCAGAAAAAACAATTGCAACCATCTTTCCTTCCACAGAAGACCTGTACATTGCATGAGTCAAATGGAGGGCCGAGAAGATATCTAGAGACTCTTCACATCCTGGACATAAACTATTCCAACTCCTCCCCTCAGGATGGTGCTATAGAGCAGGCGTCCCCAACCACCAGTCCCCGGACCGGTACTGGGCCGTGGAACAATTTCTACCGGGCCGCCGGTTTGCTGGGCACCGCCGTCTTGTTTTGATGAAAAAGTGCTTCCGGTGCTTCCTTTTCTGGGTAGAAAGCGGCGTTTGGGTGCTGAAAGAATCCTCGCGCCTTAGTTTCATCGGGGGGGCGGCTTCGAAGAAAACTAAGGCGCGAGGATTCTTTCAGCACGCATGGCAAGGCGAGACGAGACGAGCGACCATCCCGAAGCCCGAAGCCCATCGACAAAGGTACAAAGGAGGAGTTGAAGGTGGCGGGGAGAAGCGGGGGACGGCTGGCTGGCCGGTCACTCGGCTCACCTTGCCATGTTTGCTGATGCCGGTACCGGGCCGTGGATGATTTTGTGATGCCGGTACCAGGCCGCAGCACAAAAAAGGTTGGGGGCCACTGCTATAGAGCATTATATGTCAAAAAAAAAACTAGGCAAGGTACAATGTTTTTCCCTCGTGCCATCACTCTATTGAACACCTAATTCTCATAGTGCTATCTAATGTCTATGTATATTTACTCATGTAGTGAGTATTATTATTTATTTATTATTTATCCTTATTATCTTCTTTGTTCCCCCTTTATTATTGGTATTATTATGGTAGTGCATTACTGCCAGCTACTTCTGCTGCCTGCCAGCTGCCTGCAATTTGGCAGTTCAAATCTGACCAGGCTCAAGATTGACTCAGCCTTCGATCCTCCTGAGGTGGATAAAATGAGGAGCCAAATTGTTGGGGGCAATATGCTGACTCTGTAAACTGCTTAGAGAGGGCTGGAAAACTCTGTAAAGCAGTATATACATCTAAGTGCTATTGCTATTTTATTGTTTTGCATGTACACTGACTGCTTCTATAATGGAGACAAATTCCTTGTGTGTGTAATCGCACTTGGCCAAATAAATTATTCTATTCAATTCAAGTCTCTAATAGAATACACCTCCATTTATTTAACCATCTATTTATCCAATAAAGAGCCTGATAAGATCACTGATTTACATTTCTACTCCAATAATAACATAGCTCCTCCCTCCGGCAATGTATTAAGTCAGTGTAGTTCATGAGCTAGATGGTCAACAGAGCACTGTCTATTATTGTTGGCCAGTCAACTATGTCCTCTTATAAAGGAGTAAAAGTCCACCATGCTTGCGAAAATTAGAATTAGCCCTACTGAGTTTTATGGAAGTGGAATTAGAATATGGAAAATTAATATTGTATATGGTAACTGCAACAGGATTATTGTATGCAAATGTTGGAAAAGAAATAAAATATCTACAGTAAAAGATTAGATTAAAAAATTGCAAAAATACCAACACTAACCACTGTGGTCATAGAAAAAAAATAACAAAAGACGTTTGTGTCAAACTCACGGCCCGCAGGCCGAATGTGGCATGTGCCCCCCCCCCAGTTTAGCGAAGGGAGAAAAAGTCCCAATACATCACATGATGATGCCGTGACAACGCAAGTTTGACACCCCTGAGTATCCTGTCATTATATTTATAATTAAGTTTACTGTTTTCATGAAAAGAACAAAACAGAAAAAAGATACAAAATACAAAACATTACTCCACAAATACATAAATCCAACCTAATTCTTAAGCACACAAGCAATAATTACACAAAATAATGATCTGTCTTTCAACTGCATCAATAGGGAGCCAGCTCACAAGCAGGAAGCAAAATGTCAGTGACCTTCCTATATCTTAGATGCTCATAGCTTAAGTAGCTTCAGTTTTAAAATCTGGTGGAAAAATAAACTGGATCAATAAAAGATCCTGAAGTACACATAAAACTAGCCTGCAAAATTGTAAAGAATAATTATTTCCACATACTTTTCTTAAAAACCTAGGTTAATTCTTTTCTAATTAAACAATACGTAACATTCTTCATTTAAAGGCAAATTTGAGCATTTCGTATTTGTAGGCAGTAAGGAAAGCCTTCCCAACTGTATTTCATATACTTGGAAACACAAGAAGGAACTTACAAGAAAATTAATATGAACAAGGAAGCCCCAGATTGTATCAAATGATATGTGGTAAAATAAATATCTAAATGTAATGATTTCTGTTACTCTTCAGAATGAAGGATGCCCTGGTAAGATCAGTATCTCTGAAAACAGATTTGTGAACAGCCCTTCCATGGTAAGTACAAAATACTATCTGGCAATGGAATTGTTGTGCATTATTGATAAAATTTAATCCGACACTTGAAAGCTTTTACCAGAGGAATAGTGATTTATGCTAAAACATACTTACCATTCCACTGATGCAACGACCACAGATTGTTGTTTTGAATTCACCATGCAGCTCCTTCACAGCACTTGTGGTATAAAAACCTTCTGCTAGCAGAATGATTCCATACAAGAAAAAAAATGACGCAATTCCATAGATCACATATTGCATTAGTTTTATTCTGAAAAGGAAATAAGGCAGTTAAAATTATGTCTTTTATCATCATATGAAGAGTAGAACAAAGTGCTAGAAAGTTATGTCAGAGCTGAACAAGACTAAGAGCTGGTCCTTGAAGTTGCGGCCATCACAGCATCCCATAGTCATGTGAGGGCAAGTTGGGTACCTGGCAACCAGCTTGAATTATGGTAGTTCCAATACATGATTGTCATTTTTGACCTTTACTTCTGGCTTCCAACAAGCAACTATATAGCAGGAAAGTCATCAGAAGGTTGTAAATGGTAACTATGTGACATGTGCTTAATAACCACATCAGGTGGTAACAGAATTCTCAGACTCAATTATGGTCATTAACCAAGGTCTGTTATATATGTATTCACTCAAATACAGACACACATGGATATAAATAAAATCAAAGCATCATTGGACTTCTAACCCTTATTTATTCTATCATTGATAGTGATATTTTCTATGAAATTTGGCAGAACTAGCATGTATACTCGGTATGATAGGGACTCTTAGGATATTAAGCATAGGAAAGAGAACTGGACTAGAAATCTCCCAACACTTCCAATTGTTTATTCCATAATTGATTGCTACATCAAGAGCATCTGGTAACATATTCATGACTTCAGAAGTCCTGGAAGGTAAAATTCCAATTTGATTTAAAAAATAGATATTAAGCATTTTTTATAGAAATTAAACATTTTTCCTATACAATACAAATTCAGGCCTCTTAAAAGGTTGCATACATCTATCTTTATTTGCAACAAAAAGTCATATGCATATTTATAAAACACTATTAAACTTTAATGACAGCTCATCCCATCCAAGACATCATGTTGAATGACCTGCTATTAGATTTTCACAGCAAAGGTTGATTAGCCTAAGAGTTATGCAATACTTTACATCCCAAAGAACCTGAAAGATAAAAAATTCACCCAGTCGACTCAGGTAATTCTGCAGCTTATGGCTAATGTATTTAAACACAAATTCTCACAGAAAGGACAGTATAATAAAACATTTATTTTTACCACTTTTCTAGATTCATCAAGACAGGTTCTTTTGCCCAGGAGAATTTTGGAGTATTTTGTTTTTAAAATGTAAAAAGCCCTGGCCCTAACAGAATTTTGTTTGAGCTTTGGGAAAGTGATTGGGGTTGAATAATTTACCATACATGTCCCAAAGTGGATTTTTTATCTAACCTATATTGTTATGTGAACTCAATTTTGATGGTCCATATCTTTGTCATCTTTGCAGAAGAATCTGATTAGCCTGGAGAAGTAAGAAATATTGCCCAAAGCCCCTATGATAGTAGCTTCTTATCCATTTTGGCATTCCACTTTGAATAAATATTTACCTGACAAAACTAATAGGAGTACACTTAACGAAAAAATTTGAATCTTAAACCAGTAACTGTTACTGTTACCAAGTCCTTGGTTGGTAACCTGGTCTCTGCTCTAGTGTGATGTTGACAATGCATCTTGCGGTAGAAAGAATAGCTGAGAAAGTCTGTAGCATCTCAATTTCCTCTCTGTTGATGTAGACTCCTACTTGGAGCTGGATATTTTGTCTTGAACTGCTGGGATACTTTAAAAGCCATTGGGGATTTTTCACTATAAGGTATTGGTAGAGTTTACTTACATATATTCCATATCCATAAGCCATTTATTTAAAATAGATAAAATCAATTTGAGAAAGGAATAAATTCTTACAATATTTGATGTAATGCTCATGATATTCTTTGATGGCAGACTGTTTAAGCAAAAAAATTATTTATAATTTTGCCACTGTGGACCAGAAATTAAATCCTTTCATACTGATGCGAGGCATTAATGAAGGAAAAGAAAAGCATTCAATTTACCAGACTGCATATAAATCTAGATCTCAAGCTTTTTAAAAAGAATTTAAGAAAAAACTACTTTCTTAATGTCTTCTTCAAAATGCTCTAAAAGTTGTAAGAGAAATCTAAAATGACTGCAATAGGAAGCTTGTACAATAAAGTATATTTGTATATTGTACCCTTGCTTTGGTGAATCAACTGTGAAACAGAATTTTATATTTAGGTAAATCCAGCAATTTTGATTCATAAAGACTAATTTGATTTATCTTCTATGTTTGATATAATGCATTGGGTATTTGTTTAGTTCAATTGCAGTGACCAGAATTATAAACAAGCTGAGCTCTGTATCTCAATGAAAATGGAAGCTAAAGCTTTCAATATGCTTTCTTTAGCTTCAAGCTAGGATGAGGTCATAGTTTATTATACATCTTCCATATAATTTTGTTGCAAGGATGAAAGAAATTTCATGAAACCTTCAAGTTATTCATTATATTTATTATTTTATTTTTAAAGTTTGCAGTGTTTCTTTCTCATGTTTTTCTCCAATATATTTTAGTGGGTCTCATCTCCTGGCAACAGCTCCTTTTTTCTCTCCAGTAGTTGTTATGGAGTTGGATAACTATGCCCTCTTTCTGAGATCGATTGCTACTTTTATAATTTTCTTTTCCCTGTTGAATTAAACAAAACATTTGAAGCGAAAGTACATATTGAATCCTAACAGCCAATTTGTCTTCATTACACTTTCAGGCCCACTGAATGTCATTAGTCAAACAGTATTTTAAAAAGTTCTCCAGAAATTAATACATTTTCCTTTTGATAAATTCTCAACTCAAGTGCCAAAGATGCTTTTTCAAGATGCAACTGGACTTTCTTGTTTTTCTTTGAAGACGTTTCACTTCTCATCCAAGAAGTTTCTTCAGAGCTTCCTATTCAGCTCTGAAGAAACTTCTTGGATGAGAAGCAAAACATCTTCAAAAAAACCCAAGAAAGTCCAGTTGCCTCTTGAAAAAGCATCTTTGGGACAACTACAAGAATCTCCATAGACATCTCTCCTCAAGTGTTGATCTCTCTGAAGACATGTATAACATTGCTTACATCTATTATTGCTTTGGCAATTTCATTGGTTAATAATTTCACTACCTTTGTTATATAAAGAAAAAAAAATAGATTCACACTTACACTTCAGATAACAAAGCATGGTCAGTCACGTTTGTGGAAAAATTCTGTTCAAGGATGGATATAGTTCCTGCAAGAGCCACATGACCACAGCCACAAAACAATGCCACTCCAGAGAAGCAGAGTATTGTTGCCACAAGTGAAGCATATGGAACTCCTCCCAGGCACTTAATGCAACATTCAAAACAGCCTAGACAAGAAAAAAAAGGGGGGGAGGGAAACATTTGAGAACAATTATTCAGATTTCCATTTGATAAAAACCATGAATGCTAAAGAGTTGCACTTAATTTAACCAACTAACGTCCTTATACACCTGCCATCTTAAAGTACAATAGTGACAATTCACCTGCTTGTGGAATTGATTCTTGCCACATAAGCTATTTGCTGACGTTTTTCATGTTTTCTCCAAAAACCTAATTCTGGGTATTAGATGAGCTTCCAAAAAACCAATGGAGCAAAACAACACAGCAGGAATGGAAATCTGGGGTCTGGACTTACAGAAAGATCTTACCTTTAAGATAAAGATCATAATTAGCTTTAACTCCACAACATTTGCTGATGAAAAAGCTTAAATAATTTACACTACAAAAAAAGGAAAGAAAAAAATATTTCTTACCTAACACAATAAAATGTAAACATATTCAATGCACCATATGATTCATTAGGATATTTCTGCAATTTAATGAGCCAAGAATAGGAACCAGGTAATCCCCAATGTAAATCTGAACTTATATTTTACACTGATTTAGGTGAGCTGCTACAGTGTACATAAAAGACAATATTTAGAAGCTTCAAAAATGGTCAGTTTGCTTTAACCTGAACGACACATTAACTAATTTAATCTGATGTCTGAATATGGAGAAAGTGTTTGAAAGACCAGAATTTATTTATTTCATTGTCTGGTATGACTGAAACAATTATTTAACTATTTTTAAAAATGAAATTGGATAAATAAAACCCAGCTTTATGATAGGATCAGATTTCTCAAATTTCAATAACACAGTTAATATGTTTTTTTAACTATATTTTTATATAGTTCTTTTTAAAGATGATATATGTAACTTAATTGTATTGAAAGATAACTGGATGAATTTGGAGCAATAATATTTCTTTCCATGGGAGCAAACCCTTTCCTACATGTCAGACAAATTGAAATGTAACAGGAAAGATGTTTGCAAAGATTGTTAATTCCTTCCATATTGAAAGAAACTAACTAGGATCTGAATGCATAGATAAGCATAGGCATTGATGTCAAATGGTTTCATTGCGGTAATGAAATGATTTTATTCTATGTCAAGTACAGAAAGAAGGGTGGATTAGGACAGCAAAAAAAAGTGCTATCCATCATATTAAATAAATTTGTTACATTAAATATAGAAAGCAAACAAAATCAAAATACTGTAATGCAGCAAGCTAAAACAGCAAACAATCAGAATCAAACTAGAATACGTGCTCACAAGAATTTACTGACTGAGAATAAAGAATGCTACTTGGAGCAAGTCACAATAAAAGGAATCATCACACTTTGTGAGGGAGCAAGTTGGGGTTGCTATCCACACCAGACACAAGAACAGTTTTTTTCCCGAAAGCCATCACTCTGCTAAACAAATAATTCCCTCAACACTGTTCAACTATTTACAAAGTGTGCACTACTATTACTGTTAATCTTCTCATCACTCCTTATCACCCATCCCCCTCCCACTTGTGATTGTAGGACTGTAACTTTGTTGCTTGTATCCTTACGATTTATATTGACTGTTTCCTAGTATGATTTGATTGTTGATTGTACCCTATGACTATCATTAAGTGTTGTACGTTATGATTCTTGATTCTTAACGAATGTATCTTTTCTTTATGTATACCGAGAATATTTACACTAAGACAAATTCCTTGTGTGTCCAATCACACTTGGCCAATAAAGAATTCTATTCTATTCTATTCTATTCTATTCTATTCTATTCTATTCTATTCTATTCTAT